TCAGGTTCCTTTTTTTTTTTTTTTGCTATAATTTTATATTAACTTTTTTTAAAAAAAGGATTAATAAAATTTTCCCGGCTTTTTTTTTTTGTGAGCGAAAGTTGAACGTGAGTCTGTTGGAAATAGAGGCAGATACAGTTCAGTCTCTTGTAGTCCGCTGTTTCCCCGTTAGAGAGAGTAGAGCGAGCGCTAGCTAATGTCGCCGGCCATACTGTGGAAGCGAGGGCGCTGCGTGAGCACCGCATTTATATATGCCGTCTCCCCCGAAAGGCCAGGAAGTGACGTAGCGTCCCGCCCCTGAGGCTCATAGGTGTTCCCGCCTGTCAATCAGCAGCCGCCGAGTTGCGGCTGGCTGGAGGCCCGCCTGCCGGGAGCGCGGAGAGCTACCCGCCGCGCTGCGGTTTGGGTTCGCTCTGTCCCTTGGGCGGGAGACGGCGCTGTGTTGTCCGGCTGGCGACTGAGAGCCTGGGGTCGAATGCAGAATGGGTGGGGAGAACGGGAACGGAGTGGGGAAAGGGTGCGCCGTGCTGCGTTAAACTGGTTAGCAGAGAACATGGGTGGATCCTTAGGGTTGGCGGGGTTCGGCGGGGGCGGTGGCCACTGCTGGGATGGCGTGGTGGTTTTGATCCTGTGCAGTTCACCGCGATTGCCGTGGTACTTGGCCATTCTCTAAAGTATGTGTTTCCTCAGGACGAAAGAAGCCACACATTAAAACTCAGTATTTGTCCGTGACGCACATGTTGCCGAGGGTCGGATTAGAAGGCGCTTTAATTCTGCCCCTGCCTTAGCTGATGTTCGAGGAAAAGGAGTTCTCGATCCGTTTACACAATAGCCCGAAGCGTTGTCTGCCTATTTAAAAAGGGAAAAGCAACGTGGCGCCCAGCCTCGGAGGGCTCTACCTACCTCCAACCATGTGGCTCGCCCAGCCTTGGAGTTGGCCGAGCTCAGCGGCTGCCGTGAAGCACTGGCAACTCCATGCTCGATTAGGTCAACGGGTGGGAATTTATTTTCTAAAACTATTTCTAGAAACTGGTTTAATAAATATAATCTGAAATTGTCTGATAATACTTTTTTCAATGTTCTCAAACTGATGAGCTAGTTGAAAGGGGGCCCCCACCTCCAAAATTTACAGTGCTATCATCTCACATGCTTCAAAAGAATTTACATGGAAATTTATATAATAGAGATTTCTGACCTATCGTTAGCGGTGATTTAAAGAACCATGAATTTAAAAAAATATTTTAAATAACGATATATTTAATACTTCAGGAATAATGTAAACTGTAAAATAGTCGTTAAGGTGTAGTCAAACAGTTTAACCTGAGGTGGCAAAATTGTGGTAACAGTTATGACTTTCACTCAAGAATATGGGAGGAAAAAACCCAGCTGGTCATAAAATTACCATTTACAACACAAAAGACTTTTCCCTATCATCCTTAGAGAAAGACTTCCCTCAACCAAAAGTGAAATGAGATCATGTTGTAAGTGTGGAAAACCTAGTGAAAAAGATGTGGTTTGAATTTGCACTCTAGATTCCCTCCAGGGTAGTACTTGTCTTACAAGAATGTGAATTTGTTCACATTTCTCCATGAAAACTGTTGAAAGAGGCTATGTTGTGTGGTAGGTACATAGAGTACTCTTGCCATGTTTTTAAAAGCATCCAACTCAAACTGGGAATTGGGACAAAAGAGAAATGTTGCTTATTTTATGATAATAACAATTCAAAGTGAATGTGGTGGTTATACTTGGAATAAAGATAAAAGAAGTATTTATGTGTTTTACAAGCTATTCAGTTATTTGATGGTTGCTTATTGAAATGAAGAATGTCTACTAAACCACCTCAAACACTAATTGTGGTGTAAACATAATTTGACTTATAATTGCTTATAATTAGTTGCTTTTCAATTACTATTATGCTTTTTCCCAATGCAATTTAAGTTAATATAAAAGTGCCAAGAATCTTGGCAAGGTAAGTTCTTGTTAATTTGACATAGGATAATTTAAATAGTGTCTACCAATTGGATTGGTCGTTTGTAAAATACATTATTTTTCTTAAGCATCATTACTAGCGTGAGGCTCAAAGTCCTTTGTACTAATAACTAAGTTGGTCAGTTAATCTTATTCAACTATTTTGCTAAACTTTACATGTCCAAAACATATTTTTGGCCCTCTCAGATGATTTACCAGAGAGCAGTCTGAGTGCTTTTTTAAATCATAAATCCAGGGGAAAAAAGGAAAAACAAAAAACCCTAAATCCAGTTATGACACTTCTCTTAATATTTAAAAATACTCCAGTGCTCTCCCCTCATACTTAAAATCAAAATTCCTTACATTAGTTTTCAAACTCCTACATGATCTGTTCCTAATTCTTCTCCAAGTTCATCTCCCTATGCCCTAGCCATACTGACCTTTTTAGGTCTTTTTCATTTGTCTTAAATGCTCTCTCTCCACTTTATATAGCTTTTTCATTCTTTTCACTTAGCTCTTAGCTTAAATGTCATGTCCCCACCTCTGAGAGGTCACCTGTAGTAGTAGGGCATAGGCTAAGACTACTATAACAGAGATTCTGAAATACAGTAGCTCGAAAAACGATTAAAGTTTATTTCTCTCTCACATAACATCCAGAGGCAGGGAGGTGGTAAAGGATGAGTGGGCAGCTCTGTTTTGGGAGATAGTTCAGGGACCCTGGTTCCTTCTACCTTGTTCTTACCATAGGGTGCAATCTTCACTCACATGATTAAGGCTGGTCCACATATGTCTACATTCCAGCCTGGAAAAAGAAGAAAAAGAGAGAGTGCAGAAAAAAACAATTTCCCTAAGAAAATGAGACCTGGAAATTGCATTATCAGTTCTGTTCACTTAGTCATGTGTTCATACCTAGCTGCAAGAGAGGCTGGGAAGTATGATTCCTACGTGGGTAGCTAGTTGCCTGGTCAAAACTTGGGGGATTCTATGACTTAAGAGGAAGGAGGGAGAGAATGGATGTGAAGGACATTCTACAGGCCTGACATACTTTTCCTTACCTTCTAACCTACAGTAGCCAAGTAGTCACTCCCTAACATACCATTCTGCTTTAATTCTCTGCAAAATTCTTTTTTGTTGTTTATTTATTTTTGAGAGAGAGAGAGAAGCAGAGGAGGGGCAGAGAGAGAGGGAGAGAGAATCCCAAGCAGGCTCCACACTGTCAGCACAGAGCCTGACATGGGGCTCAAACCCATGAACCATGAGATCACGACCTGAGCCGAAATCAAGAGCCGGATGCTTAATCGACTGAGCCACCTAATTCTCTGCATAATTCTTATTATTCTCTTGTATATACTTACTTGTTGACTGTCATGTGTCTCTCACTCTCAGATTTTAAGCCATGTAACAGCTTGTTTGTCTTTGCTTAAGGTGGATAGCATTGCCCCCAAAAAGTATTTGGCATAATATATTCAATCAGTATTAGTTGAATACATGAATTTAAAAAATTTTTTTAAATGTTTATTTATTTTTGAGAGAGAGAGAGACAGTGAGAGTGGGGGAGGGGAAGAGAGAGAGGGAGACACAGAATCCAAAGCAGGCTCCAGGCTCTGAGTTGTCAGTACAGAGCCCCATGCGGGGCTTGAACCCACGAACTGGGAGATTGTAACCTGAACCAAAGTTGGACGCTTAACCAACTGAGCCACCCAGGCACCCCAGTTGACTACATGAATTTTTAAGTGCCCTACATGAATTTT